TTTAATACAATGGGGAAGGCTGGAAACTATGTTGAGATAAAGTAAGTGGTTAGGTTCCTCCATGATAAAATGGGTTTTCAAATTTTTCTGAGCCCAAAATATTGCCTCCTGGGTCTTTTTTTATTTTTTTTTTTTAGAACTGGATAAAATTCAGTACTGTTTTTTTACACACAAATTTGTTGATCGCAAACAGATTGCACTTACATGGATTCAAGCCAAGACCAAGGAATCATCACATCAATGCTGTTTTTCCATGAGGAAAAAAAAAAAAAGGTTTTGCCCTTCTGAGTGGTGCTGTATCTCTTATGTTTTATTTTGTCCTTTTTAATTCTTATTTTCTGTACTTCCTTCATTTTCCTGTTCAATTACCGTGATGAGAACCCATTTTGAATTTAAAAACAGTAAAGGCAGAACTCAGAGACAACCAACAGCGATAGAATACAATAGTAGACTAAAAAAGATGAACTATACTACAGTACATTATACTGCACTATACTCTAATACAGCCCTCAAAATGTCCACTCACCTGCTGGAATGGAAATAAGCTGATGGCGAGTGTGAAGCCCCACTGGAGAGGAGGGAGGGCACGGCCGGCAGGCCAAATCTCCTTCCAGCCTCCATCCAGTCATTCTCTTAGCAGGGCCTGGCATACAGTGGGAGGCAGCAAAGAACTAGATGAGGCGAGGAGGTGGGGAGGGTGGGAGCTGGCAAAGTTTACTTTTCCTATTAACAAGCTGGTGATGGTCTGCTTGGACCGCTTAGCAGCCAATCACCAGCTTAATAAGAAAAGTAAACTTTGGAAACTCTCGCTCCACTTTCAAGTGCTATGCTCCGCTGTAGGACCTTTTGCATCCTAAATCAATGAAAGTGTCATTCATTGGTTTACATTTTTTTAATGCTATAAGTAATATAGCATTAAAATATTTACTTAGCAAGGCAGTAATGATGTGTACAGTGCCTATAGTAGCCATATTTTATCCTCATTTTATTTTTATCGCAGTCAGATCAATTAAATACGACTGCTGATATTGGTTATTTTTATTTTTTTTCTTTATTCAGTGTATTTTATTACAATGAATAAGGAAAAAAATAAAAAATAAATACCAGCAATTGGCAATCATATTTCATGGATCTGACTGTGATAAATAAAATAAGGATAAAATAGAATTGGCTACTATAGGCATTGTACACATCATTACTGCCTTGTTAAGTAAATATTTTAATTGCTATATTAAATATAACATTAAAAAATATTTACTTAAGGCAGTAGTGATGTGCACAATGTAGTAACCCATAGCAACCAGTCAATGTATCTTTACATGGTTCACCACAGTAAACAATAAAAGTTGATTGGTTGTGGGGGTGGGGGGGTGCTGGATTCAACAGACATGTCCGTGGGGGGGAGGGAGGTATGATGGGTGTAGAGGACATGGCTTTGAGGAGGAGGGGGGTGTGAAGGAGGAATAAAAGGACATGGGGGAGGGGTGTGTGAAGGGGGGTAAAGCCCATGACTGTGGAGGGGTGGTGTGTGTGTGAAGGGGGGCAGAGGATGTGGCTGTGGGGGGTTGTGAAGGGGCAGAGGATGTGGATGTGGGGGGTTGTGAAGGGGGCAGAGGACGTGGATGTGGGGGTGATGTAAAGGGGGGCAGAGGATACCACTGTGAATGTAACTTAATTCTGCATAAAACATTTTGTAATTTCATGAGATAATTTACAAGGGTGTGTTGGGAGGTGGGGCAAGGTAGGGGTTAGGTGGGGCAACTGGTGGTAAGTATTTCTTATGGCCTGGCTAGTAGCTCAGGACTTAATTGTACGAAACTATATTACTTATGTTTATAATGCATTTATCTTATCTAAAATACTACACAGTATTGTGAGAGGTTAGCATCAGTCAGGCACAAAAGGCAAAGCCCATTCTCCAACTTAGGTGTCAGTGTTTTCCAACCCAGTTATAATCATTCAAAAAAGGGTAACAAAAGCTCTTGCTTTGTAGAGAAAATCCAGTGAAAATACAAAGTTAGCACTGCAGGACACAATCTCTAAAGGCTTTCTGTTCCTTTAGCATTTGTGGCATGAAAATCTGGCATGAAATGTTAGCCAGAGAGCCCAACCTCAATCAAACTGTAGGACCCCAAAATAGGCATAATACAGATTCCGATCACAAAATCTTTGCATACATCTTTTAAAAACACAAAAACTGTCATAGCTAGGGTGGCAAATAAACTCTGTTCCAAACCACTGGATGCTCTCTATCTTTAAATGTGTGTGCATACATTGATACAACAGTTCATGTTCAGGCATTTCAAAATTTAACAAGTAAAGAAATAGAGAATCTTTACATGAAAAAATTCCCAGTGTAAAAAGCTTGAAAGTATTGTACAGCCCAAGGTAGGTTATTATGGTAAATAATGCATTATAATATAATGTCATGCTACAGGATAGCAAAGACAAATTGTTTTAATTTTTACTGGAAATCTCTTGCGATGGGATGTTCCATTTCAGCCTTCTACTGAATTCTCTTGTGCTGCGCTATTTGTTAGGACACACAAGTGATTTTATCTGACATAAATCTGGTGCCCTTGAGATTCTATTTCAAATGGTTTAATCAAATGTACTGCCTAGTACAGTATAATATTAGATGTTCTCAATTTCCCATCTGGCATGGCATTGATAAATGTTGCAAAATGTCAATGTTATGAAAAATGTAAATGTTATGTGGTAACATGACATTTCATTTAATCTGCTGGCCAGTTTCTCTTAATGAGGTTGAATAGAAATCAAAGTGACAGGACACTGCTCTGGTGAAGGACTCATTTTGGGGCCTGCTACTTTTCAGCATTAACCCCTATCCAAGCAATCTCCCAACTACATTTTTGTATGGCAAAACTGTATAAATGTTTGAGTAGCCAAGTATAAATTATGGATCTATCTTCAATTATTCACAGACAATATCCTTAGCCTACCGCAGGTGAAATCCCATTTTAGGCACTGTTCTTCTACTCTTCCAGTACTGTTTGTGGTCTTCCTTCCTTTGGACTTGTGACATCACTTGCTGCGTCAAACTCTCCTCATATGTGGGCCCACATACTGCCAACTTGGGCAATCCCAAAGCCTCATTGGGCTTAGCTTGGGACACCTTCTCTCAATGGATGACACACAGTGCTTCTTCAATTTACCAAGTTCTATCCATGGCTGAACTTAAGCCTTTAGTCACCCTTTTCTCTAAAAGACAAATCAGAGATGCTAGCTTTACCATTTCCAACTGCAAAGCTTTTATAACTATCTAGAAAACCAGATCTCACTCCTTTTTGAATCTGTTTTTAAAAAATCACTGATAGCTCAAGTGGTAACTGCAGACTCAACTTTTGTTGACTCAAGAATTGCCTGGATGATCATACTACTGGATCATTATTCTGCACATGAGAAGTGGAACAAAGCCTCCATTTCCAGGGAAAGCTCAAGAAATAAATTTCAAACTACCTACATAAAATCGTCCCCTCAATCCCTGAGCTGTGCTGGTGCTGTGGAGCACAATGCTATATGTCTGGTGGTCCTGTCACAAAATTGTCCTTACTAAAAGACCATCTCACACCCAACAGGGATCCCCTTTTCAACCTTCCTCTCACATTGATTACAATCTGTGCTACTAGGATCATTTCCTACAGTTTGTAAAGGAATCCTAAAATTCCTGCTCCTGGTGATAACCAAGCACTGGAGGTCCCCCTCAAATTAAATGGGTAGCTGAAGTTAGTGGTCTAATGCTCCTTAATGAATTAGTAGCTCAAACATATATTTAAAATATTGAAATCTTTAATGGCTGGGTTGCTTTCCGTAACTCTGGACATTCTGATACATTTTTTACATAAGGGCATCCCCCATGGGTTGACGGCATCTATGTGAATGCAATTACTATCCATGAGAGCTACCCACCCCAACCAGTCACCTCTCCTATACCCTTTCTCCTCCTGTATTTCCTGCTCCCTATCCCAACCCTATCTCCTACTGTTCTTGTCTTCTCTCATTCGTGCACGATTCTTTTCTGTCCATCTTACCAGTATAAGTGGTGTTTAAATCTCACCCAAATCGGTAATCAGAATAATACTAGCCCTAAAGTTAGCTACCTGCTATCGCTTTACATGTATAGGTATTAGCTCTTGAATTTTGCACCTACAGAATGTACAGAAATCCTGTGTGTTTACTCTGTCAACTGAAATGTCTCATTGTACTATGATATTTCTTTACTAGTACCTGTCATTCAATCTTATCTAGCTCTGTTATTTGCTGTATAACTTGGGAAAAAAATGCAGAGGCTATATAAAATGTCACAACCAAAGTCTGTAGTTTTTTTTGTGTTTTTTTTTCTTTAAACCATCATCATCACCCAGGAGATAAAAAGTTAGTCTAGGCATTGTTCATCCAGAAGAAAGCAACGGGGTCACTTTAATAGAGGTTAAACAGTTTGTACATACTCACATTCCTTTTGCACTCGATCTGGCTATCAGGAACCAAGGGAAGAAGCTCCATGTAAGCTATAGCACAAGGCTATTACACAAGGATAAGGACTATCCACTCAACTCTGTGTTAGAGCTTAGTGGATATCACTGTTATATGAGTGGAAAAAGGGGCGAGTCACATTATTTCTCCTACCCAAAAGTACATGGCATTTTTTTTCTCAAAGCAAGCAGAACAGCTGTCAATCAAGCTATTAGTAAAGAGAACCTTCTGCTTTGCCCTGCAAACCCCCCCACACAGCTATACCTATAGCAGATAGGCTGATTTAGTTAAGGCCAAATTTATTCAGTGTAGTTTGCAAAAGATTACATTGGTCACAAAGACAAGAAACACAATTTGTTCCTAATGCTATCAGAATTACAGTTTGTTGAAGGCAGACAAATCTTTAGAGGAATCTCTGTAGTATTTACCTTATATATTTGATGTGTGGGGATGGTCCTGTCCCAGGGAAAAAAAACGTTAAATAATATTTTCTATTCCTTTCACAGGCCATTACAGGAAAGGCAATAGACAACCATTTGCTAGCTCTTAGAGAGTTAGCACGAGAACACTTCAAGGAACTACCTGAGATCTTTACAGATGATTTATACTTGATCAGTAATCGATTCATTCTCTCCACCAGTCAGGTAGGTGATTTACAAAACAACGATTGTATGGGTCAGTCATATTAGTAAAACCAATATATAGGTGAAAATGACGGCTTGAACTATCTTGCTTTGCATGTAATGAGTCTTTCTCATATTAGTTTCACCTTTTAAGTTGCATAACTGAAATAAATTAACTTTTGCACGATATTCAAATTTTTCGAGTTTCACCTGTATGTACAATGTACTCTGGTCATGTACTGCTAAATATAATAAAAAGGAGGATATAATTTGGTTGCCTATTTGTAGGGCAGCGGTGCACCCAGCAAGAAATGTCTAAAGCATAACTGGCTCTGTGGGTCTTTATTAAAGAGCACCTCTGCCTAAGCTTTCCTAGGTTTTGGCTATAATAGGGAATACTTAAAACTTCTATCAGGTGTTGTTTCCTGTCTCAGTCCTATTAGGGAGACTTTCCTTAGCTTCCTGTCCTAGAGATACAGCAGGATAACCTTAAAATGTTGGGTTTCCACTCACTTTCTATGCCTCCGACAAAGATCACAAGAATTAAGGTTTTTTAAGTGCTTTCTCATACTGAATGATCGCAAATAAAAGAATTATAATAAGGTATTTTTTTTAACTTTTATTATACAAAAAAAAAATAAACACGGCACTTAAAACGTTCTGCAGAATCCTACTTACTGCACACTATTAAACACTATATTTACATCATATTGGCATACTACATATTCCCTTTGTATAGTACCCAATTACATTACTATATGCATTGTCATACTACAGCATAATTCTACGCATAAGTCATATAAGAAATGACATCACTTATTCACTTTAGTACTGGAGGATTTCTTATAATCCCAGCAAGTCTAAGGTCTAAATGGGTCCTCTCGTCACTTCGGACTGTAACCAAGTATGTGATAATATCCACAAACACCCCTAGAATGGTGGACAGGGGATGAAAGGGCACAGAGTCGCATGGGTTCCAGAATGTCTACCTTGCAGGCTCAAACTCGAGATAGCTTGGCTGTAAAGTGCTCTCAAAGAATAATGGCTGAATGTTGCCCACCCCTTAATTGGACCGCTTTCTGATGTCTCAAATGTTTCTGAACCCTGCATCCCTCAATGAACTGATTTCCTGCACAATTTATCAATGGAATAGCAGGCATGTCAAATATTGAAAATATAGCTTATCTCCCTACCACCAAAAGAAAAAAAAAAAAAAATCAGTAATTCATATAGTTATACATAATGGACACTGGAGCACTGGTTATCATAGGAGTGCATTGTTTAACAAGCAAATAGGTCTAATTACACACAACTCATATACATTGCCAACATTATCTTGCACTTAAATTACAAAACCATTCTGTGTTTCATGAACAAGGTTTGGTGCCATTTATAGACAACTGATGTAATTATGAGACAAGAGGCCATTTATAAATATAGTTATTACAATAGAGGGTACTTTGCTAAAGCCAGAATATATGTTATCATGCCAGCTGTGCCAGTTTGCCTCGAATCAGAGGCGTAACTAGAATCTTCAGGGCCCCAATACAAGAAACCATAAAAGGGCCTCCTGACCCCCAGCCGAAGCACTTCGCTCCAACACAGGGGCCCTTCCCTCTGAGCTTGCGGCCCTTTCCCACTGTCCCACTTTACTCCTGTCCCAGGGCCCTTTCACATGTTCTCCAGTGGGCCTCTTCCTGCAATCGTGGGGCCACCCACGGTGGTGGAAAGCCAGGGCCTGATCTATGGGATTAGTCAGAGGCAGTGGTGGTGGGGGCCCTGGGCGGGGGGGTGGGATCAGTCAGAGGCAGTGGTGGTGGGGGTCCTGGGGGGGATGGGATCAGTCAGAGGCAGTGGTGGTGGGGGCCCTGGATCAGTCAGAGGCAGTGGTGGTGGGGGCCCTTGGGGGGATGGATCAGTCAGAGGCGATGGTGGTGGGGGGCAGGTGGGGAGGTGTTGGGGGGATGGGATCAGTCAGAGGCGATGGTAGTGGGGGCCCGGGGGGGAAGGGATGCGTCAGAGGCAATGGTGTGGTGGGGACCCTGGGGGGGATGGGATCGGTCAGAGGCGGTGGTGGGAGCCCTGGGGGGGATGGGATCGGTCAGAGGCGGTGGTGGGAGCCCTGGGGGGATGGGATCAGTCAGAGGCGGTGGTGGGAGCCCTGGGGGGATGGGATCAGTCAGAGGCGGTGGTGGGAGCCCTGGGGGGATGGGATCAGTCAGAGGCGGTGGTGGGAGCCCTGGGGGGATGGGATCAGTCAGAGGCGGTGGTGGGAGCCCTGGGGGGATGGGATCAGTCAGAGGCGGTGGTGGGGAGCCCTGGGGGGATGGGATCAGTCAGAGGCGGTGATGGGGGATCAGCCCTGGGGGGATGGGATCAGTCAGAGGCGGTGGTGGGAGTGGGGGCCCTGGGGGGATGGGATCAGTCAGAGGCGATGGTGGTGGGAGCCCTCAGGGGGGGATCAGTCTGGGGGGATGGGTAATCAGTCAGAGGCGGTGGTGGTGGGGGAGCCCTGGGGGGATGGGATCAGTCAGAGGCGGTGGTGGGAGCCCTGGGGGATGGGATCAGTCAGAGGCGGTGGATCAGTCAGGGGAGCCCTGGGGGGATGGGATCAGTCAGAGGGATGGGATCAGTCAGAGGTGGGAGCCCTGGGGGGATAGGATCAGTCAGAGGCGGTGGTGGGAGCACTGGGGGGATGGGATCAATCAGAGGCAATGGTGATGGGGGGCCCTGGGGGGGGATATCAGTCAGAGGCAGTGGTGGTGGGGGCACTAGGGATGGGATCAGTAAGAGGCGATGGTAGGGAAGGGGGATGGGATTAGTCAAAGGCAGTGGTGGTGTGGGGGCACTGGGTAAGGGGGATGGGATGAGTCAGAGGCGATGGTAGGGAAGGGGGATGGTCAGAGGCAGTGGTGGTAGAGGCAGTGGTGGTAGACACGGTGGTGGTAGGGGCCCTGGGGGGAAAGGAATGGGATCAGTCAGATGCAATAGTGTTGGGGGCCTGGGGGGTGGGATCAGTTAGAGGCAGTGATGGGGGGGGGGGGAATGAGATCAGTGGCACTGGCACTCACTTGCTCTTAGTGTGTCAGACTTCAAGTGTCTCCAGTAATTACTCTCCCAACAAAAGTTCTCCTTGCACAGCGGAGATCTCCTCCCATTCACGCTATTGGCCATAAGCTGGTCAGCCATCTCTTGCAGATTTCTCTTCCCAACCCGACATATCATCCGCCTGCAGCAATGTGCGGACTGTTCGCTGTGTGGGTAGGTCAGTGAAATTGAGTGCTCACGCTGCTCAGCCACAGTATGCCATCTCCCAACTCCCACTAGAATGGGTGGCAGGCCCCACAGTGGCATACCTCGGGGTGGGAGGTGCTCCCCCCCCCAGTGGTGGAACTCTAGTGGCTCGTTGCAAGTGCGACTTCTGCAACCCTGGTAATTTTGCCACTGTCTTGAAAATTGTTAAAACCACAAGACTGCCAAAGCACTGAAGCAGTGCATTAGTAAACGTGATTCAGCTTTTCAAGTGAATGCAGACAAAACTATTTCCTTTAGAGAACATATTACATTTTAAAAGTGAATATACCACATAAGGAAAATGCTTTGCTGTAGCCAATAAATATGAAACACTGTACAAACTGCTTTATTTCACACATCTTAAGTCTCAAATGAAAATGATGCTGTAATTACGTTTGTTTTGCTAGTACCATTTTAAAATGTTATTTCTGACAGACTGAAACAGGTGACTGTGCTTGAATCGCTGGCTATCCGCAATAGAAAGAGTCCAGAATGAGAAGTTGAACCAAACAACCGTAGGGTATAAAATCTTAAAATAGAGTGCTTAGTAGCACAATTTTTCCACAATGTGGTTAAAGCATAACTAAACTGTATCTAGCACCACAAACACTGTAATTCATTTTTAACCCCTTGGCGCCAGCGCCTCCTGTCCCTTAACCCTTTGAGGACCAAGGGACGTATTTGTCCCATGTTTTTAATTGCGTGTATCATCTGATTAAGAACTTAAAACTCTTTTTTTTTTTTTTTGGTTTGAGTCAAAATATTAGTTCTTATCAACAAACAACAAATGGATCTAGCTTTTTGCCAATTATTTCATGAAATGGCTTAGTTACAGCAACTGAAGTGTACGAACTTTAAAAACAAAAAAATTGATTCTTTTGGCTATCCAAAATCTTACAGTCCTCAAAGGGTTAAGGGTTTCAGAAGCCAGGATGCAGGGCAGGGTTTTAGGGTCATGTGACCGTCATGATTTATTGTCACGGCAGTCACATGATCGGGAAAGGTCCCGATCGAATGAGATCGGGACCTTTCCGTGAGTACTGGACATGTGTGCTGGGAGCGCACAGAGCACGTGCTCTCAGCACATATGTTTTTCTTAATTACATGCAAATGTGCGGCCGGTCGGCGTCAAGTCCCAGATGGCGGGAGGCCGCACATTTGGGTGCGGCCGGCGCAAAGAGGTTAATATTCAAAACAAACTCGCCCAACCATCCTTATTGGCATATTTTGTCAAGTAATCCTTCTGGTGAAATAAAAAAATGCCCATGAAGACTCATGGGATGTATTAAATAATTTTGGTCTAGGCCGAAAACCAGGAAGCAATTGAAGAAATGTAAAAAAAAAAAAAAAAAAAAAAAAAACAAAAAAACTTAAACCAGTAAATATAATCTAGCTAATATATCTATTTAATATTGCTGGCAACATTAAAGTTAAACTGCACTTCATCTGAGCACCACAATTCATTGTTAATATTCAAAGTAAACTCACCCATCCATCCACATCTCCATGGTTTATTTTGCGGAGTATTCATTTTTGCAAAACACGCCCTGGTATTTCTGGCAGTGGTCATCTTGAGTAAGGGCAGATGATTCATGTGGCATTTACTTCCTGGAATCCATCTGCCCTTAACTCAGGCATTGGCTGAGCTGAGAACCCTCCCTCCCCTCCTGAAGACTCCTGGGATGTGTGACAATTTGCCTAGGCATAGAAACAAGGAAGTAACTGGTAAGCAA